CTGTCAGCTAAATCACAGATTCATTCCTAGTCAAATATATTCATCCAGTAACAATTGACTATGCATTGCGTGTATGCACCGCTACATAAAAGCGGATGTCTCAATTGTCTTAGAAACTATATTCCATGAGTGGATTGTCAAGGCAGATCCAAGCAACTCAATCACTTGGTTCACATGGCCTTTTTTCAGGCTGTCACACCCTCCCATAACACGATATTAGGAAGAATTCTGAAGTGCTTTTGTGTGCAAATGAAAAAATGCAAATACAGTCATTAAAGCAGCAGTGCCAGAGGGACTCTTACTTCAGGTACCACTGATGGTTCAAGAGTGCCAAAGATGGTTGAAATGTTCCAGGTTTGTGGCAAGCCTTCCACACCCCTTCTAGCTCCCGAGTTCAGCCAGTAGCTCAAACACAGAAAGGACATGGATAGAAGTGGCAGGGAGAAGCAGTAAGTGGCAAAACCTCACCATTTCTCCTTGCCATAGGCAATGGGACCTTCTTAAAGACATAAACGTCTCATCTAGCTGTGGAGATGGCAAGAACAATCATCAGCCTACAAGGAAGGTCTCTCTCATCCACGCACCTCAAGCAGACGGCCACACCACCACCTCCCCTTTCACTTCTCTGCCTGCTCCTGCTCCCACATTGCTCAGAAGGGGAAGGAAAATGCGGTGTTCTGGCAGGGGCACCGGCCAACAGAGCAAGCACAAGAGTCACACGGAGAGGGGAAGCAGCCCTTGTTCTGCAGCAGCTCCTGACTTCCCAGCCAAGGGGCTCGCAGGCAGGCCTGGGTGAAGAGAGTGCCAGAAGAGACGCAGAGCAGTGCTGGGAGGTGGACAGGCACCAAAAGCCTCCCTCCAAAGCAGATACCAAGGGGGGGATAGATCTGACTCAGCACTTTCTAATAAAATAATTGTGAGCAAAAAGTACTCTAAATCCACACACGTACTGAAATTGTCCTAAAAATTTTGATCAAAATCAAATGCATCAGTTCTGCAACACCACAGGCAAAGCAACATGTGCCAATTTTTCCCCACACGCTCTAAAAGAGTAAAATTGCTGCAAACCACTACTCCTTATGTGATAGACAAGCATTTATGGGGAATATCTTCTGTTTCAGTACGTTTCTTTGTTTGTTTCAAATCTTAGTGAGAAAAGTCTGATGCTTTTCAATAACACTCCTGCTTACCTTACTCTTACCTCCTGCTTACCTACTCTTTCCTTAATTTAGTATTAGCTTCCAACGCTACTGCCTAGGGTTAAACAGTTAACTTCCCAGGCAGGAAGAACTCAAGAACTCTTGGTTAACCAAGAAGCTTAGTTAGCTCCTTCATCCCACTCACCTCAATTAAAACTTTTTCCACATTTAAAAACCCCACCTGTCCTCAGACATGGTCCCTTACATTAAGATTAGTAGACATTTGACAAACTGTCCAGGCATCAGGTTTTGCTTTCCAGGTGTCCGACTACCAATTTTCAGTGACATTTATATAGCCAAGGAGAAAACACTAACACCAAACTGCCACTTTCCTGATTGAGGACTGCTTGTTGACATGCCTGGTGGCCCCATGGACAATAACAGCATCTGACTGCTGCTTTGATCCGCTGACATGATTTTGTCAGGCAAAGGCACTGCTACAGCTCCATGTTCTCTGCCACCACAACCTTGAAATCCCCCAAGGTCTTTGATACATCAGCATTGTTCTTTGTTTATTAATTGGACTTGAGAAGAATTCATTTAGCTTGTACTTTGGCTGGGTTATCCTTAATTTCCTGAAAAAACATTACAGCATCTGGAGGCTCCACAGTATTAGAGACCTCTGGATGAAATAAGTCCATTTCACTGCTGTCTGTTCCATATATGTTTGAGAGCTATCTTGGGCTTTCTTGGAAGAAATATTGTGCTGTTAAGGATGCAAAAGAAAGCTGTCTGCCTTATGGCATACTTGGTGACAAATCCCTCAGCATGGTGTCCAGAGTAGAAAAGTGTAAATAAAGCTGACGAGGAGGCTGTTTACAACTCCTTCTGCATGCCACAATGTCGCATGAATACAGGAAGCAGTCAGCACTGTTTCTGAGCAGAATTCCTGAACCATTCCATAAACTTTTTTTATAAACAGAAAGGCAGTTTCAGAAATGATTATGTAAATCATTTTACCAGTCACTCACCCAACAACTTTCTTCAGACTTTTAAATAATCTAAAGCCTGAATTTCCCTTCCATAGACTTTCTAAGACTGATGAATCTTCTCAGTCCAGTTTCTCCTCCAAAGGAGACTGCAATCACTAAAACTTCTGGCGAAGCAGTGCAGCAAGTGAGCTCTTGAATAAGCGACAGTGAGTCTGCAGCAGTGCAGAGCAGTGGCCCTCTTCCAGCCACTGTCTACTAAATGACTAGAGAAAGTCACCACTTTATTGCTTATTAGTCAGGAATAAAGCCCAGGCCAAGAGTTCAACATTTCACACCCAGCTTCCCCACAGCCATCACCTCCTGTTTGCTTCTCACAGGAGAAGATTCAAATGTGGTCCAAATAGCACCCTTCTAACACCAGAAGCAGCCACACAGATATTTTAAGTTAAAAGTTACATAGTGGATCTCTTCTACAGAGAATAAGAACAGGAAAAGGGATAACATCAGCTCTAACCCAACTCATCTAGCCCAGATGCAACACTTGAGTACAAGCCTGTGGTATTTGATCTCAGGTCAGTCTATTAAACCTGTGAGCTCCACCACTCAGAGGCATTTCTGTGCACATCTACCTTTTGAGTTTTACTCACAACCTTTTCTCTACTTTCCAGCTGCATTTCCCCCCCCCCCCCAAAGAAATCTCTTCAGAAACAGTTACATGAAAGTAGTCCTGAACTCTTACTTTTTCTTTCCTTCAGCAGGAAGGCCACTCAGTCTTTAGCACTCTGCTTACACAATTCCTTGAAGCATTTCTGGGATTCGAGGGGAGCTATTCTGGCTAGCTCCTTTGCTACGGTCATGGATCACATACAGTGCTCACTTCAGACTGCTCTGGAACTCCACCTCTTAGCTGCATAGTTCCTGCAAGCTGCTAAGTATAAATGAGGCATTATATTTTAAACCTTAACTTTTTCTTTTAAAGATAAACCTGAACTGAGTGCAGTGTCCTCGTCAAAGTCACACTACGAAGGCTCTCTTTATGCAAATATTCAATGTGACAGTGGAGACCAACAGAAAGGTATTAGGTAGAATTTGCAAGTAACTGCTGATTGTGCCTGAAAGCTAATGATGCTAATTAATGATATACCCAGGGATAGGTCTGTGAAAGGAATGGGGGATGTAATAGCACATACTTGGCTTTTCTGCCTTTTTGTATAATTCTTACTGAATATAAATTAAGTCAGAAAATGTCACTCTCTAATTAGGATGCCTAAATGGCAAAGAAAAAGTAAACAAGCAGTGGTACCTTCCCCACATTTACAAGCAGGAACATTTTGTATTCTTTCAATTACACTTGCATTATAAAGGTATTTTCTTTTCCTTTATTAGTTATCAAGGAGAAATACCAAATTGAATGCATATTTAGCCAAGATTTAGGATAGAACAGTAGTATGCACGTCTATCAGTATGTCACAAGGCCAGCAGGTACTGGGATCCTTCATTTAAGTTATACAAAAGTCTCCTCTCCAAATAACTTTGAATCTAAACAATAGTTTAAAAGACAGGTGAAGAAGCCTCTTAGGTAGTTTTTCCTACCTAAAAGAACAATTTAACTTGGATACATAAACAGTTAGACACAGGAACAAGTTCAAATCAGAACTGGGCAATTCTCTAGAAGCTAGCAATTTTTTTTTCCTCCATCCTTTTTGACCATTAAGTGATATGACCAATATTCTGAGAAAAAGAACAGTTTTCAACATAGAGATTTCTTCACAGTGAACAGAATTCTTAGTCTTAACCTACTATTCATCCTTGACTAAGAACTAAACAAAGAAAAGCTGTAACACATGATGATGGGACACTCAGCAGATGTATATGCAGGGTTATTACTGGCCCTTCCAGAGTATGTATTCCACAGATCAGTTAAGGACCCACAGAAGTATATATTGCTCATAGAAATACATTACAAAAAGGATCACAAATGCACACTTGAAGTTTTCATTTATATCAAATATATATGTATTTCAACTATAACATAGCCCCAGAACAGGGAAAAACACCAGAAGCAAATCAAAATTAGGTCCCGAAGCAGAAGCAGAGAAGGGAGACAGGCAAAGCTATGTAATATCACAGAGGAAAGATGAAAGCTGTGTTATTGTATTGCTCGTAGCCAAAAGAAAAAAGGCTCTCAATGGGATTGCCTATATGGTAGGACCAGAGGCAGCACAAGGCTCGTATTTCAAGACAGACAACAAAAGCAGGCATGAAACATAGGCCAAGCTCAGGTCTGCAAAGCCATGGCTGCGTGCACACAGCACATGAAAACAGCCATAAATCAGGTGCAGCTCTTAGGAGTCTGTCTCAGCTATTTCTTCTGTCTGAGCACTACTAAGATGTTCATCATCGTCATGTTTAGCACCAAACATTTAATAATTGTTAATGCTACTTGGGTGCAATAGCTATCTATTTTTTTTCTTAGGGTAAAATATTATAATCTGTGTCAATTTCTAGATTTTTGGTATGTATAAGTGCCAAAAGAGCAAGGATATAGTATAACTTTCAATTTAGATTTGATTAGCAGATCTGCACAATAAAACTTCACTTCAGTGATTTTGCCAATGTAGCTTCAAATCTGAAGTGACAGACTATTACAGAGCTAGAAGTAGCAAGAGATTAACAAACTTTCTAGGCTTTTCATATATTTACTGTTACATTTTCAGGTAGCCTTCACTATAAAGTCAGAAGCTTTGGTAAAATAATTGTGGATTTTCTTGTCTTCCAAAACTCCACACAGACTTACTCATAACCCCACTGTACATTGCATAGGCTTTACAACAAAAAATAGCTTTTTACTGAATGTTGTAATAGAAACATGTACTGTAGGGTCCAAAGTTTGGCCAGTCAAGCATCATCTTTAGGTAAGTACACAAAGAGGAGACTTTTCTAGAGCACTGACCTGGAATCAGGAGTTCCAGCTGCTTCTAGTTCTGCTAACAAGTCCATTAACTGGGGTTAAGCAAATGACTCCTTCCTTCATCTCAGCTTCCTCATCTGTAAAAGAGGAGGCAGTGACATTTAATTCCTTTTGCAATTGCTTTTGACAGCTGTAAATAAAGAGGAATATTGTTACTATGAATTATAAATTAATTTTGATTCATCATTGGTCTGTATTTCATTGCACTAAAAGAGCTTGTTCCTGCTTTCTGAGTTAAGAAGACAGTCATAAAGAATATCAAACTATTGTTTGTATCATTACTAGATATTGACTGCAATTTCTTTCTTTGTTTAGGAATAAAATATAACATGGGATTCCAGCAACCCAAAAAAGTAAGTTTTCAGAATTCCATAAGGAAAGTTGTGCCCAGGTTCTGAACACAGAGCAAGGATAGAGATGGCTCAGATGAGGCTGTTAGAGTAGACACGAAGCACTGAATAGAAATAACGCATCTGAGCTTTGCTATGAACTGCATATTTTCTTTTTAAAACGCGAATTTGCTGAGCTTTGCAATTTCAGCTTTATGAGGGGGGTTTTTTTGCTAGTCTGGATATCGTTGAAAAGCCCCGTAAACTTCGCACATTAACATTCTGTGCAAAGCCCTGCTCAACAGCCGGAGAGGTCATTAAACCCGGGCCGGAGGGAAAGCCTGGTGAGCGGCCCCCATCTAGCGGCGGCGGCTGCAGCGGCGAGAGCCGGACACCGGCCCCGGGACCGGCCCCGCGGAGCGAGCGGCGGCCCCGGCCCCGGGACCGGGACCGGCCCCGCGGAGCGAGCGGCGGCCCCGTCACCCGCGGGGCTTCCCTCTAAGCAAGGAAGCTTCCCCCGAGGAAAGCAGGGCCCTCATCATTGACATTAGTGACAAGGATCTAGGGAGTTGGAATCCAATCACCTTGAAATATCAACTGTTTTACACATAACCTTTCAGCCACCTGTAAAGCCTAATATTTAAAAGTAGAGCAAAGTTGGTCTTTTAAAGATACACAGAAACTTAAATTCACTCTTGACTACTAGAAGAAACTAGACTACTAGAAGAAGGGTCTGATCATTCCCATCCGCTGAATACACAGCACCTTATGACAGGTTATCTGTTGAGTTTCCCCATCCACATATAACATGACACTATCATTACCAGGAGAAGTAAAATAGACAAAAATGAACCTCCACACACACACACACATTTTGGGCACATTGCTTTGATGATCATGATAAAAAGAAAGCAAGTGTAGAGGGTGCTTTGCACCTAGCCTTGTTTCTCAGCACACAGTGTATGCCCTGGTGAGATGGACCCCGCTTTCGTCTTCATTCTGCTGCAGGCATCACAGCACTAAGCTGTGTCTCCTACTGAGGTGCTCCATTTTAAACCATAATTACCAATTTAAGCCAGTCACTAAGCAATTAAGTTTTCCTGTTGTCACCTGAGTTTTTTGCAGTGAACATTAGAGTTTTCTCCTGCACAAGGAGGGTGTCTGGGACTAGAGAGACTCTCACCCTCAGAGGATGTGGCAAGATAAAATTCTGGTGTCATATAAGCTACAAAATAGCATGTCTCCTGTAACTGAAAGGCAAGAAATATGTAATCTAATCTAGGTTCTGCTCAAGATGCTGAGCACCATGAAAAGGTCATCAGCTGAGGAAGTGTTTTACACCACATTCGATGTGATTCAAGTCATCCCAAAGTTCAGTCTTCTGCAATAGCTCAGCCAATCAGAAAGACTCGTAACCTCAGACTCATAACCTCATTATTACATGAGGTATTACATTACATTTTAAGACTTAGTCTTAAAAATTGAGAAGGCATGACCCCTTTAATCTCCACAGAACCCATCTTAGTTCACTATACATCTTATATTTAAAGTCAAGATGCACAAACAGCTGAGGATCTGAACAGGATGAGGCCAAACTCTTCTCAGTAGTAGCCAAGAATAGGACAAGGGGTAGCCTGAGACCCCCTTCCCTTTCTCTGCTCTCCCTCCCTCCAATCCAGGCCACAGCTTCCATAACCACCATACGCTTTCAAAGCTCTTTCTCACCAAGTCCACATTGCTCCTCAGTCTCTTCACTCAAGCATCCTGGCTATGCTGCTGCTGTCAAATCCGCTTTCTCTCCAAAGATGCCACCATCATCACCCATCACATGAGAACCTCATGCTCCCATTGCATTTTCTGCTTCCCTCCTCCCACACTTGCTCCCTCCACCCTCACCCTCCCAGTGCAAGCACCAGGAGCCTCCCTACCCCGCCAGGCTTCAGTCCATGCAGTCACTTGCACTACAGAATGAAGTTACTGAAGGAGACAGCAGCTTTGTGTGCCTAGAAAGGCAGATGGAATAAAAACACACACATGCATATACATATACACAAACACAGAATACAGTTTCTGCTAAAGGTAGCCACATGCACCTGAGACTGTCAGAGCCTGGATGCAAAGACCACCTAAATACAGTGATATCTAAATCCGGCCTCACATTTTCTCTGCTCAGACTAATCTCTTCATTGCATGTGAATGTAGAGCAAAGAAAAGCAGCTCCCCTGTGAGCACCAGCAGCCCTGCTCTGCTCACCACAGGGCAGTGCAAGCAGAGCTGCATTAAGCCATTCAAGTTACTAGTAGCTACAAACTCTGCTGTTTGGTAACATCTTTCATCTCTTTCCACCAGGACTGCATTGCCAGCACTAACCAGGACGGAAGGCTGTTAGGAGGCAGCAGTGCACACGGAGGGGCAGCAGTGGAGCAGAGCAGGTCCTTGCTCCTTCCCGGGAAGACGCCTGCCAAGCTCCAAAGCAGCCACGGCAGGCAGGGCAGCACCGCGCTGGGCACGCAAGGGCTGCAACAGAAAGGGGAGGAAAGCAATTCCCTGCGGCTCCATAAACGGAGGCGGAGATTCGTAATTAAGAAGAGCCCTATTCTGATTTCAATGAACAGCTCCGCTCTCAGCCTGCCCACGCTCAAAGCCGAGGATAGAAACAACAACAAGTGGAAAAGCCTCTATCAGATCCAAAGAGAAAGAAAGAGGATAATGAGGGAAACTTGCTCTAAATACAAGAGTAACAGTAGAAGAATAATCACTCCTTATCATGTTTCTAGAATATTTGTAGAAGATAAATACAGAGTTTTATACTGTGAAGTACCAAAAGCTGGCTGTTCTAACTGGAAACGGGTGCTCATGGTTCTCAATGGCCTGGCTTCTTCCACAAAAGATATCCAGCACAACACCGTGCACTATGGAAACTACTTAAAAAAGCTGGACGGGTTTGATCGCAAAGGGATTTATCACAGGCTCAACACTTACACAAAGATGCTTTTTATTCGTGAACCTTTTGAAAAGCTGGTGTCAGCATTTCGGGACAAGTTTGAACATCCAAACAACTACTATCACCCCGTTTTTGGAAAAGCCATCATCTCCAGGTATCGTGTCAATGCCACCAAAGAAGCACTAAGGACAGGCTCTGGAGTCAAATTTAAAGAGTTCATCCAATATCTCCTTGATGTGCACAGACCAGTGGGTATGGACATCCACTGGGATCACGTCAACAGGCTTTGCAGCCCGTGTTTAATAGACTACGACTTCATCGGGAAATTTGAAAGCATGGAAGAAGATGCAAACTTTTTCTTGCACTTAATTGGTGCTCCACAGAATTTGACTTTCCCTAAGTTTAAAGACAGGCACTCCAATGATGAAAGAACTACCACTAAAATTACACAACAGTATTTTGCACAGCTTTCTCCTTCTCAAAGACAACGCAGTTATGATTTTTATTATATGGATTATTTGATGTTTAACTACTCCAAACCTTTTGAAGATTTATACTGATTTGAGAACAGGGACACTTCTGTGGACATATCCTTTGAATTGCATAGCAAATGCTGGTGGCTTCTGTTTATATATACACACACTTGTCTCTAGTGAACAACTGGTTGAAAAGCAACATAGAAACACAGAACATAAATGGTTAGTGATGTTTACATCTTCACCTTAATTGCCTCCTTTTTCAAATCATATTTTTTCTATAGTTTCTCTGTATGAAATGTATGTACATGTATAAGCTCACACATCAGGGTGCGCGCAAATAAAGCACATAATTTTCCATGCTGATGTGGCTTGTGTTTGCATTGGAAGGTGCATTTAAAACTGGAGAGCAGTGCTGATGGTCCTGAGGTGGACACTACCTAAATCTTAGAAAGTGACAGATAAGCAGGAAAAAAAAATGAGAAATAGGCTGACCATTCTTTGAAATCTGCAACAAAATAAACCATACTCTAAGTATTTGAAGTTGGTCATAAATGGTCATTTATAACCATAAGTTAAATTAGGAAAAAGGCCATCACACTTGCTGCTCAAAAGCACACTGGTGAAAACAACTAATACTTAATGCCATGTGAGTGCAGTATTAAGCCAGATGTTGCTATTCAGCATGAGGATGTTTTCTTCCCTCTTCTGTATTTCCCTATGGCATATTCATCTGCAGGAAGATAAAATGCAGGCGAACATTTACATCTTTATGCATGCTATTAAGATTCTTTTAATCCTTTGCATTAACATAAATCTCTAGTTTAATCTTTGTAGTCAACAGAAATATCAAATGTTTCCTTCATAATAACAAGCAAGAGTAAACACAACTTCCTGCCCAACAGGATATTTCTTTTCATTGCTGTGAACAATTTGCACTTACTTATTTCAGCAGCAATCAGATTTGATTTCAAAACAAGCAGAGAATATTTCAGGTGTTTTATTTATTTCAGTTGCTCTTTTTCTATACAACAGCAAAGACATTCCTTCACCTCTAAAAAATCTCTTGCAAAAATCAAGTATTGGCCATTCTGCTGCTTTTAATACACTTTATGTGTTTTTATATATATATAGTGTATCCTTGTCCATTTTTAATCATTTAACCACTTGAAATAATGATTTTAAAAGTAAGAAGGCCTTACTGGAACAAGCCCCAGTCTCTGCAATCATGCCAACCTTGGAAGACTCAGTAGTTTAAGCTGGCATTATCCAACCCTAACTATAGATCCATCCAAAGAGGCAACGTGCAAAAAATGCCTTTTTATTGAAGTAACCAGATCTCTGCCAGCCTGGCTCAGCTGGCAGCACCAGGTCAGGGCTCTTCACGTGGCTGCAGATACAAGCGGTTGATAACGCTCCTCCTTGGGACGCTATGTCCTTCGCCAGGGAATTTGATTAATGGCATCCTTAGCACTAAGGCTCTAAAATGTGATAGTACTGTGATCCTTGATGCTGGTATTCATTTGCCTGGAAATTAAGGATATCAAATGCTCACAAATACAAAGATATAATAAATACTCCAGTCTCTAAGATGGGGTTGGATTTCTGTGAAGTGATGCAGTTTCTCCTTTAGGGCTTGATCTTGGGAGTTGCCAAAGCAGGACAAGGTCCCAGCACAGGTAGTGCCTGCACTGCTCCCACAGACCGGGGCTGAACTCCTTCCAGGCAGGATGCCAACCTCCACAGAGAAGAAAACTCTAATTTGTCTCATTACAGCACCGTTACAGCAGAAGAGGAAAACACGGATTTATAGGGTATCTCCAAGATGTGGTCAAGGTCAAGCTGGTTGTTTGTATTCTTTACATCTTTTATGCTTTGCTAGCTTGAGAATGGATAGATTAGAAAACTTGATCCTACAGCTAGATCCACAGTGAAGACCTGGCTTTCTCCTTCCTCTACCCCATCTCCAACCATTTCTTTTCAGCTTGGTTTATACACACACACACACACACTCAACATAAATAAAAGAGCTATTTTTGCTGAAATGCTGATACAACCACAAGGTCAAGTTCACATCTGAAAGAAATGCTTTGTTGGCACAGGTATACATCACTAAAGTGCTTGCTGTATGAATAGGAAGTACCAGCAAAACCACACTTCTGACTAAGACCCAACTGTAGTGCTTTTTTCTAAACCTTTTTGACCCTTCCAACTCCTAATTAAAACCTCAACTACTCTAATAAAATATTTTGCTGGTGAGAGGAATAAGATTTTTAATGCACATGAAGATGAAGTCTTTGGTGGAGTTTTTTTTTTCCTTAGATAGCATGCATTGTTTGGAGAAAAAAGACTGTTCAATAAATCATTCATTTGTTTACAGCAAACTGCATCCAGCACAATAACATCTGCTTTACAATATTTCAAGGAAGACAGAAGTTTCCTTGCAAATACTTAAAAGTGCTTAATACTGGCAGGTTGCATTAATTCATATTTGATATTTGGATTCTTATTCCCTACAGCTTAGCAGAAACAGAACAAGGAAATGATCAAGAGAAAAGATCCATCAAGACAATAAATACCAGGAGAGAAAGAACGACAAAGAGAAGTAAAGTTGCAGACAAGTAATTTATATTTTCATATCAAAACTCTTAAGAATGCAACTTTTGGTAAAAGATGTTTTTAGATTGCTCATTACCCTTCAGATTGACATTTTTCCTCCATATATATTTGAATTGAACTTTTTCAGCATTAGTTTCTTCAAATGAGAAGTTTATATTCAAGTTTTCATGCCCCCCAAAACCCTTTTCAAGCAAACAGAATAGATCAGAGGCCAGCCAAGCAGATTGTCTAGCATTCCTGCAGTTAGCCAAATGCACATTAGCAATCCATTTTCTCACTTTGTTGCACTTTATAACAGACAAGCTTTGTTGCTACTAGACTTTCATTAAACTATACTCCAAGTTCTCATCTTAAAGTATTTTAATAACTTTTGGATTCCAATCTTCTGTCGCCTCTCCACCAACACATTGTGTTCCAAGAACCACCACTTACCTGAGGGTGTGCAAGGACAAGCAGCACGGGTGTCAGCAGCAGGCAGGCTGCCCTCTGCCCACAGGTTAAACAGGGCTGCCTCTCAGCTCCACAAATCCTCTCTTAATCTGCTTCTGCTAATTCACATACTTGACTCTAGCTCATGCGTCTCTCCATTACCCCCTGTACAGACATTTCCTCTGTACTCCACCTGAAGATTTCAAAGATAACAGAAGCAGTAAGATGTTTTCAGTGACAATTTGAGACCTTAGCGCCTCTTGAAATTCTCATTTTTACTTCTGAAGGATGAGGAACACAACTCACAAGTCAAGATGCGATGGCACAGAAAGGGTAACAAATCATAATCTTAGCCCTTATACCTCTTTTAAAGTGGACCAAAATACATTACAAAAAAAAAAAAAAGCAGATTAAGTCAAACAACAGCAGGAACTAATTAGACGGTCCCCAAGTCAATGAAAGAGCATTTTTAAAAGATGAGACTTTCATCCAAAACAAGACCCATTTTTTTAGCCAGTTCTGCTGCTCTGGCCCTTCAAGCTGCCACTTGCACTAACTAATAAATAATAATAATTTAATTAATGAGGTAGGCCAATCGAAGTCATGCCCAGTTATCTGGAATTATAGGTCCAAAACTGAAAAGTTACTTGTACTTTACTATTGATACAAGCTGAATAAAAGCATTCAGTTGACAGGCACCCTTCTCCTTGTCCCAGAAAGGAATTACATGGGAATCTACCTGGGCATAGCCAGCCTGGTCTATTCCTTTCCTATTCCAGCAGTACCAAAACAGCATGTGGAAAGAGCAGTGCTTTGCTTTCGGTGCGAGAGGCAAGTCCCAGCAGAGCCTGTCTGAGGTGATACTGCCCCAAGGGATTATTTTCAGGTTACTGTTACTTGTGGCGACTTCAAAGGCTCTGCATGCACCTGCACACTCGGCAGCGGCTTGGGGAGCAGCCCAACCTTCTCATGGCAAGAGGCACAGAATTAGTTTTCCTCCCAAGACGACAGCTACTGCTCAAGAAGGGCCGATACTTTCCTAGCTCTCAGCATCAAGCCTGCAAACACACATTTCCAGCAGCTTCCAGCCTGGCCCTGCTCTCAGGGTCAGCTGCCCTTGAGTACAAGGGACAGATCCTACTCCAGCCAGACACCAGCAGCGGCGGCTGCCCTGGCTGCAAAGCACCTTGGCCACGGGCAGCTCGGGAAGCTGCAGGTTCCGCACGTCCTGCAGCAATGGGGCCCTCGGAGCCTCCCTCGGGCAGGGGCAACGGGCACCGTGGTTGCAGAACAGGCAGGCAACATGGTTAAACTCGTTATCTAGAGGCTATTTGCAGACTGTATTATGACGCAACTGCAACAGTTAACTGACTGGTAACTGGTAAAGAATAGAACCAGTCTGCTTTACAGCTGGTGTAATCCAAGTGTTCTTCTGTTTAAGACTAGATATTGCCAACTGTACTGGGCCACTGTTTCACTCTCAGCTTTACGGGCTACTCTATCAGCAATCTTTCCTAGCAGTGCCCTTTTTGAACATTTAAAATGCTGCTGCCAAGTTAAGAATAAGCAAGGTCTTACCATCTTACCAATCCAACTTTTCCCCAATTGTTGTCCTGATCTGGAATTTCTGTCCAGATTCAGCACAGGAAATATTCTCCCAACACATCCAAACAGAAGTAATGTCACCAGTAGCAAAGGGTGTTAAGATTAGGCTCAGGTACAGGGAGCAGCAGCATAGGAAGCAATGGCCTAAGGGGACTGCACTATCAGAGCTCGTCCCAACCCATCAACACTAGTGGAGATGGCTTCTTCACTAACAAACAAAAGCTCCAGGTTACAGTTCACCTTTAAATTCACAGATATAGACTAATGGATATTATGATCCAAAGAAAGGTATTTCACCATTGTTTTGGGTGTGCAATCAGGCAGCATGAACAGGATGCAGCCCCCAGGGAGGCGCAAGGAGCGATGCCAGCCTGGACGAGCACGGCTCGCACGTTGCCCGCTGCAAGGCACCGCTGCAGCTGCCTGGCTTTGCTGACCTGTTCCTACAGCCTTATTCCCAACACCACTCCCATATCTATTAGGAATCACGTTTGCTGATGTGTAGGGCAGGTAACAGGGAGATTTGGTCCACTATATTCCCATTTAATTTGGTTATCAGACCTTCTGGGAAGTCTGTTCCCTCAGAACTGCTAAGCACATCTTTCCTCATCTCTGTTGAGGGGAAAACTAAGACTCGTCACACTGATAGTGTTTTATATTAAAGTTTCATTTAAAAAAATCCCRAACATTTGC